CTACAGGATGGCGAGGTTTACTGCATCGATGCCCGTTATTATGGCAATGTCAGCCGTTTCATCAACCACTTGTGTGACCCTAATATCATCCCCGTCCGAGTCTTCATGTTGCACCAGGACCTGCGCTTCCCCCGCATTGCTTTCTTCAGCAGCCGGGACATTCAGACTGGTGAAGAACTTGGGTCAGTCTTAAGGGAATTGTGTGTTGAGTGTGTATCTAGGACCATGATGGTGAACCTGTGGCACGCGTGCCCCAGGTGGCACGCGGAGGCCTCTGCCGGCACGTGAGCCGTTGCCCCAGCTCAATTCCACTGCGCATGCGTGTGCACCTCCCACCAGCCAGCTGATTTTCAGGTCTCTGCCGCACATGTTATTTAATCAAAACGCATTAATTAAAACATACAAGCCATCGAGAATATAACTATATACATCCAACAGGGACAGGAAGTGCCTCACAGGAGCAGATAGAGGTAAATTCTAGAGAGGCAGGAAATGCATCACTGAACAATGGAGAGGAATGCTAGAGAGGAATAAATATGCATATGATGGAGATATAACACTTGTAACAGCATATGCATACACGGGGAGAGGCGGGAGCGCAGGGGGGAGGTGTTAACCCCCCGTGCCCTGTTTTTGGTCATAGGAGGCTTCAAGGAGGCTTGCTGGGCCCAAACCCGGGGTGGAGGTTGTGTGCGTATGCACCAGGGGGGCGGTCGCGTACGCATTGTATTATGGATGTGGGCATGTGTGCGTGCTTTTGGCACGCAAGGACAAAAAGCTTAGTCATAAGTGATCTAGGATGAAACAGCATTGTGTGGAATCATCCAGAAAACGGTTGCAGATTCAGAATGCTGGAGGGGTGGGGGAGATGCACTCCCTTGCATGTGTATCTTCATGGTAACTCTCAACATTTAGCACTTTAAAGTGCCATTGGTAACTCCATCCTGAGGCATGAAGTAAAGGAGCCCCCCCCCTGCCTTATGCAGGAGGCCAAGTAGGCTACGGCCACCTTGGCCACGCCTACCCACCAATCAGGCAGAGAACCCATTGCTGAAATTTTTGAAGCCCACCCCTGGACATGACCAATGCGAAGTTTTGTCTTCTGGGTTTTGAAAAGCTAGATAGTTCCAGTTCTCAAGATGAACTTAAGTCATTTTTATGCTCTTTCCCTCCCCTCCCCCTTGTAACCTGTGCTGCAGATTTGACTACGGGGACCGTTTCTGGGACATCAAAAGCAAATATTTCACCTGCCAGTGCGGTTCGGAGAAATGCAAACATTCGGCGGAAGCGATTGCCCTGGAACAGAGCCGCCTGGCTCGCCTGGAGGCCCACCAGGACGTGCTGCCGGATAGCAGCAGCTTCCCCGCCTCTCAGGTTTAACCTGAGTCCCGCTGCCCCTTCTGCATGTGAAACCGCTTCTCCCGGGCCCCACCCCTGACTTCTCCTTTTTTCCACCACCACCCCACCGTGGACTTCCTCTCGGCTTGACATTTTGGAACACAGAAGCTGCTCCGCTCCAAGAGGAATTTGCCTTAAAGCGATGCCACGTTGGTGGAAGGAGAGAAGAAAATGGAAGAAGCGTGTCTGGAGAGAGGCGGGGCGGGTGGAGGGGGGGAGTGTCCCCGGGTGTGAAAGGAAATGAAACCTCTGCAAGAAAGACAACCTTTGCCCCAGGGGATCTGAGCTCCTGAAAGTTTTCCTCACAATTGATGCGCCCGCAGTGTCTGACTCTCGTGATCCGCTGGAGAAACAACCGTGGGAGACCAGAGAACGGGGTGGGGGTGGGTGGGATGGGGGGTATCCTCTTCGCTTGATTTTATTTTGAAGTGAAGGCTGAGGCCGGTGCCGTTTTGCCGTTTTAATCCTCCCTGTGCTCACTGACTTTCTTACGTGACCCAGCCAAATCTTTGGACACTTGCCTCTGTGGATCTACGAGAACTCGCCGTGGCCAATTCGCCACGGCCAAACCGCTGCGGCCAACTTGCCATGGGACGAGAGTTTTCAAAGAACTGGTCCAAGAGAGTCATTAAAGGAAGGGATGCCAAAGGAGGAGGGACAAAGTAAAGCGCGGATGGCAAAAATGAAAATAATTTTTAAAAGGATTTTAATGATTTTAAGTAAGTCGAATTGTTGAGGTGAGTTGGCTGAGGCAAGATTGTTCCATTTTGTGCCTCTGTTTCCTCTACCTGGAGGCAGCCAGCAAACGCAGGAAATTAGGAGCTCTCTCCAGCTTTCTGGGCCAAAAAAAGCAACTTCCACCAGAGGCTTTGGGAATGCTCCATTTTATTTTATTTTACTTTATTGAGCGGAGAAGCAAGGAGGGTGTCCAAATTCCACTGCAGGCAGGTTGTTTTATTGTCGTTTTTTGTGCATCAACACATTCTGGGAAGGCTTAGAAATTTAGAAACCAAGCATCAACTTGAAAGGCCTTTTTTGCCATCACCCAGTGCAGGGGTCTCCAACCTTGGCAACTTGAAGACTTGTGGACTTCAACTCCCAGAATTCCTCCGCCAGCTTGCTGAGGAATTCTCAGGAATTCTGAGGAAAGTTTGCTGGCGGAGGAATTCTGGGAGTTGAAGTCCACAAGTCTTCAAGTTGCCAAGGTTGGAGACCCCTGCACTTATGCTTGTGCTCCTGTGTGAAAATATGTTTGTTTGGCTGGCTGGCAGGACCCGTGTCTGTAGTGTCCCCTTCTCCTTGGGGGCCCAGCTCATTTTGGATCAATTTTTACTTTGGAGTGGGAGCAGTGGCTTGTCTGCGCTCTTTGTCTTCGAGTGGTTTTTAAAGTTTTTTTTGTTTTTAAATTCTTTTATCCCTCTTCAACCACCGGCAAGAGAGGTTTGACTCGGTTTTGAGGGCCAGCCTTATCTCCGTCTCTTTTTGTATGGGTTTCATAACTTGGGGGGGTTTTATAATGTAATTTTCTCCGCACCGTAAAACTAATAAAAGTTGGCAACTGGGTGCATTTTGATACGATGAAAAGCAACGGCAGCAGCTTGAATGTGATTTTGTTGCTTTGTTCTCCATTCCTCGGTCTAGGAAGTGCCTGCAACCTGCATCCTTCTTCCTAATTCCCATATCTTTCCAAGAACTGTTGGGGACAAAAAATAAATCCGGTCTCCCAAATCCACAAGATCCAGAGATAATCAGATCCTTTTGGCCTCAGATATATATGATCCAGGGGTGAAATGCTACCGGTTTGGACCAGTTTGCTACCGGTTCGGGCAAACTGGTGTTTCCGACAATCAGCTGGACGATGATCAGCTGTGATGCATGATTTATATTACCATATTTTTTGGAGTATAAGACACACCTTTTTCCCTCAAAAAAGAGGCTGAAAATCTGGGTGTGTCTTATACACTGAATACAGCAAATTTTTGCCTCCAGAAACCCCGTCCCCTTCACCAAAATGGCCGTACAGAACCTTTAGGAAGCTTTCAGAGTGCTCCTCAAGGCTAGGGAGGGCAGAAATGAGTGAAAAACGGGCCTTTTTTTGCTCAATATTGCCCCACCCCCCCAGGAGCACTCTACAAGCTGCCTAAGGGCTATTCATGCCCTTTTTTGGAGAAAAAAAAACATTGCAAAAAACGGCCCATTTTTGGGAGGTCTGCAGAGTGCAAAAACTTTCTAATTTTCCTTTTCAAAACCTTGGTGCGTCTTATACTCTGAAAAATATGGCAGCTAGAATAGTTGGATTTCCTGCTTTCTAGCTAATATAAATCACGTGGCACAGCAGTTCCCCCCCCCTCCCCTTTCTAATTACCTTTGCAGGCTCGGAAGGCTTCAAAATGTCCCTTTTTTAGTGGTGCGTGGCCGTGCCGCAAGTATCAGACTCACCAAACCAGCAGCAGACTGCAGAGGATTTCACCGTTGATATGGTCTCCTAATATTCCCTTCTCTTCCTGTGTTTAAACTGACCAATGTTTTAAATGACAGTGATTTAAATTATTCACTGCTGCCCCCTTTTTTAAAGTTTTTTTTTTAAATTTTTCCCTTTCAAGTTCATTCATAGATGTACATTCTTAAAATTGCTATTTAACATGTATCTATTCATCATTAGTCTCTATACCAGTGTTTCTCAACCTTGGTAACTTGAAGATGTCTGGACTTCACCTCCCAGAATTCCCCAGCCAGCGAATGCTGGCTGGGGAAGTCTGGGAGTTGAAGTCCAGACATCTTCAAGTTGCCAAGGTTGAGAAACACTGCTCTATACTCATTTTTACACACACACACATACACCAGTTTGGGTCACTTTCTTGCCATCCCATTTCTCCATCTTATTCTGCAACAACCTCACTCCTTCCATCTTCTCAACCTACCTTCTCTGCCTTCTTCTTTCCTCCTCTCCTTCCCTCTTTCTTCTTCCCCTCTCTTTTCCCATGACCATAGGCACAGTGGTGCAGTGGTTAGAATGCAGTACTGCAGGCCACGACTGCTGGCTGCCTGCAATTTGGCAATTCAGATCTCACCAGGCTCAAAGTTGACCCAACCTCCCATCCTTCCAAGGTGGGTAAAATGAGGAACCAGATTGATGGGTGTAATAATGCTGATGTCAGGGTTCCAAATAGCATCCAAAAGTAAATCAGAGTCCAAGGCAAAGTATTACTCAAAATTCCAATTTATTAAGAGAGCCATGTGGGCGCATCTGGGAAAACCTGAATCTGAAAGCTTCCTGGTTTTCCCCACCCAGTTGAACGTTCAAGATTTTGCCCCCATATCCACAAGTCCATCACATGGTCCAATCTCCCACTTCCATGCTGGCAGTTCCACCCATCCAGTTCCGGTCAGGTGCAGATGTGCCAAGACAAAAGGATTGTCTTTCTAGAAAGAATGTTGTTATGGCTACATAGCATCTAACTCCGTACAATCCCCCCTCGCATTTTCTCACAATAGAAAATGCACAGTAGAATAATAGAAACTCTGGCAGGCCAAAGATCCAAAAGAAAAGATGGCTGCAGGCTTGGCAGCTGACTCTGTAAACTGCTTAGAGAGGGCTGCATATAAGTGCTATTGCTATGTCTCTTCAGTCCACTATTGCTATCATGGGATTAATTACAGTGATAAATCAAGGACTACCTGTATCTGGCCAAAATAAGTGTTGGAAGTTAAGGCTCTTATTGTCCCCCCCAAAAAACCCTTGCTCTTTTGTAACCTCAGACCTGTGAAAAAATCTTAAAGACTAATAAGTTACTAATTGTGTGCCCAACTTTCAAGACACTGGATTAATTTCAGGAAGCAGAGATTGGTGGGTAAAGCTTTTGAGATTTTTTTTCCCCTTGGGCAACAAGGAAGAGTCTACATTTTAATCAATGTGTTTATTGTTTGACGTGTACAAAACAAACCTCCCGCATTCAGCAGTTGTGGTTCAGTGATTCCCAGGGGACGGAGCGTGCAAAAGGCATGGCCAGCTCAGATTGTCATTAAACTTGCCGGGAAGTTGCTGGTCTGAAGTCACTGGTGCCTTTGTAGATTATAACTACCTGTTTAAACTGGAGGAAGTTTGGGTATGGGAACTGCTGGAATAGATTGATGTAGAAGAAGGTGTGGCTGACTAGCAAGTCAGAACTTTGAGAACTATAGATATATATACCGGTATATTTATTTTGTGAATATGTGCATCTCTTTAGTTCTTCAGGCCTGATTGCCTCTCACTTCTGTAAAGAGGTCCTGTATTCTTTCAAACTTTGCTGATGGAGAAAACTTATCTGTAGGAAACCAGGAATGGTGGACCATTGCCTTTTTTTTCCCTCCCACCCAAGTAAGCTTAAAAGAGAGGAGAGATTTTTTTCCCCTACAAAGCATCAAGAGGGAAAAAAGCAGGCAAATCTCTCTCCCTCTCTCTCTCTCTCTCTCCCTCCCTCCGTGTGTGTGTGTGTGTGTGTGTGTGTGTGTTCCAGCATAACTCTGGAACG